TTAATATTAAATTATTTAAAATTTATATCTTAATTTAAATTTCTAAAATTATACACTAAATTTCACTTATAATATAATGCACCTTATACTACAATATAATAATTTTTTAAAACAAAAAAGGAACACAAAAGGATCGATTTCAGCCTCTCTCTTTTTTTATTCTTTCGGTTGTTGTTAATTTATGCATTTAAGTAATGTGTTTACTCTTAATGCTTACCAAAAAATTTGAAAATGTTAATGAAAAAAGTAAAGTCAAAGTGAAGTACTGATGAGAACCCCAAAGAGAACAATGTGACCCACAGCACGACAAGGGATTTGTAAACTCCAGGAAAGCTAAATCAGGTTTATGATAGGACCTTGACCCGTTGTTTATGTGACCTCCTGGAATATATGTAATGGCTCTCTTGACGTGGTACATGTGGGGTCATCTTAATTCCCATCAAGTACCTTTTTCCCCTTCCACATCCATGTTAGAAATGCGAGAGATATGGGGCTTGCAGTCCTTTTTGAATAGATTTGAAATGACTGCATCTGATGAATTTCTAATTTTCAATTCCTGCAGGGTAGTATTTTGGAGAATATAATCCGGCAACTTTTTTAGCTTCGGACATTGATAAATTCTCAAGGAAGAAAGACGTGGCATGATTTCTCCTCTACTTCCATAATCCCACTCTTCCCACTCTTCCCACTCTACCATCCGCCAAAACTCCAGTGTCTTCAAATTGGGGAAGGCAACAACGGATGATGAAGATGTAGACAAAGACATTTCTATCCCCAAAAATTCAACTCCCACCTTTTTTACTTTCGACATATCAACCACCATGAGTGTTTCTAGAGAAGGCAATTTCCCCAAAGGAGGCAAATGTTCCACATTTACAAACTCCCAAATTACAAGTTCCTTCAGCTTGGTTAAGGACAACATCCAACTGGGCAGAATAAAAGAGAATGTGCTTTGATAACCATGTAATTCTAATGTTTTCAAATCCGAAGGCGGCTTTAAGGCTTCAAAAACAATACTTAGTGATTCATTAGCTGGGCTCACCGGCAAACCATTGCGATCAAATTTGAGAATCAAATTAGTAATCCCCTTCCTATTCTGTAGTTGCGCCTTTTCTGCTTCCCTCTGATCTCTAACTCTTCCCAATCCTCCTATGCTAAGACTCCCACGAAGATGATTCAAGTTCCCCAAATCACTTAGTGCAGCTCCTTTATGAGTTACCACAAACACATTCAATGTTTTCAAACTAGTCAATTTCTCCAAACCTTTAGGCATGAAATTCAGATTTGTCCCTTCATTCCGAAGATGCAACAAGTTGATAAGATTTCCCATTCTATGAGGAAGTCTTTTAAGTCTGTAGCATCCACTAATGTCTAGTATAAGCAAATTATACAAGTCACACACTGCCTCAGGCAATTCCTTTAACTGCCTATTATCTGACAAGTCAAGATGCCTTAAATGTATCAATTTGCCTATTTGTTTTGGACACTTTTCAATTCTAGAATCTGAACATTTCAATATCCTAAGACATTTAAGTCTATCAAACAATTTCAATAATTCAATATGAGAAATAGGATTTCCTCCATTTGACTCAATAAGCAAAGTGTGCAAGTTTTCAGTGCAAGTCTGAATTGCAGTAGTCTCTTCTGTTTGCATCATAAAAAAAAAATGACGAGTTCTGCCATTGGAACATTGAATGCTGCTACTACTTCCGATTGTCAAACACTCACCTCTAGTCAGAAACATAGCAAAATCATGCACCATGTCATGCATTTTGCACTTGATAATGCCACCATTTTCATCCATTTCAAAATCTTGAAAAAAGAAACGCATTGACAGGTCATTGAAGTTGTTTTCCCCTACCTTCTCCATATCTTGAGTCCCCTCGAGGAAACCTTGTGCCATCCATAACTCGATTAACCTTTTTTTCTCTATCACATAGTCTTTTGGAAAGAATGCACAATATGAGAAACACCGCCTCAACTCTGCTGATAAATCAAAATAACTAAACATTAGGGGGTGGAAAAGACCTTTTTCAACCTCTTCAAGTTCCCACATTGGACTTTCTAACACATTTTGCCACTGTTCTTCACCTTTTTTCAAGCGCATAAGGCCACCTAATGTCGTCAAAGCAAGTGGCAAGCCTTTGCACTTTTTTGCAATTTTCACACCAATTTCTTTCAAACTTCTACAATCATCATCAGACCTCTCATGAAATGCAATTTCACTAAACAATGACCAACCTGCTTCTTCAGATAATAGTCCCACTTCGAACAATTTGCAACCCATGATTCTTGCTACTCCCTCATCACGTGTGGTCACTAAGATTTTGCTTCCTTGGGAACCATTACTCAACAACAAGTGTTTCAATTGATTCCACATTCCATACTCTTTAGTCCACACATCATCTAGGACAAGTAGGAATTTCTTTCCCTCGATTGAGATTTTAAGGTATTGCAATACATCCTCCAATTTATCTAATTTTTCAACAACATCCTTCAATTTCCCCTTTTCTACAATAACATCTTTCAATTTCTCCACTTTTTCAACAGCAGAATTCAATTTATGCAATTTCTCAATGACATCCTTATCAGCATTACCAATCACAAATTTAAGAATATCTTTGGCAATCTTCATCTCATTGAAAGTATCAGAAACACACACCCATATTTTTGCTTCAAAATGAGACTTTACTTCCTTAGTATTAAAGGCTAGCCTAGCAAGGGTAGTCTTCCCAATCCCCCCAATGCCTACCAAGGAGATCATCTGAAGTTTTGATCCTATTTCTTCAATTCTACCCTCATTTAGCAACATATTTACTATCCTCTCCTTATCCTCAACCCTACCCATCACCTCTGCTACATTTATGAAAGAAGTGGTTTCATCACGTTTTGGTTTTTCACTATTTAATACCTTAAACCCATACCTTTCTTTCTCATTTGCAATAACATCCAGCCTCTCATTCAAAGCCTGTATCTTGTGTGCAGTTTTGAGAAGCAATTTCCCTCTATTAAAGCAATAGGAAGGAGAGGGGACGAAGGAACATACCTTCGGCTTCGGTTCAAGTTCTGACTTGTGAATTGCAGTGCTCCACTCATCCAATGCATTATCAATGTCATAAGAGACGTCCTTGAGCTTGTCCAACCAATCTCGAACACCAGCCTTCCCCTTGTCCAGTTGCTGTCGCTCGGCATCCTCCAAAACAGCTTTGATGGCTCGAAAATTGCTACTGAGCTTGTTCACTTCTCCACGAACATTGATAACTTGTCTCACCGCTTTCTCTATTTCATCTAGAGCAACTGAAGTCAATTTTTCTAGCACAGCCGAAACAACTGCATCAGCTGCCATGATTGAGATGAAGAAGGAAATGAGACACAAGTGTATATGCTTAATTGTTTGGTGGAGTTAAAATGGCTTAGGAGGGGATTATGTTTCTCCAGTTTTATAATGAGATGACAGCTAC